GCTTGCTCCGGGTCCCAATCAGTGGAGGGAGTCATCTTAGATCCTTGAGGTATGTCACTGAGGGTGTATGCTGTGAAATTCTGGCCTTCATGGTTCCCTTCGAGTGTTTCATGAGTTGGTTCTCCGTTTTTGCTCAGAAACAATGGGAGGGTCGCCCTACCATGAGGAAAGGCCGCCTGAAAATTGCATGACTCACTTGAGCTGACAGGGCGCTCGCCCTTATGTGTGAGCGGGTCGCCCATTTTTTCTGTAAAACTTCCTGATTGCCCCATTTTCAGACTGGTCGCCCTAAAATTAGAGAGGGCCGCCTGAAATTTCTGTGAACCAACTGAAACTGTAGAGAGGTCGCCCGTTTTTGTGAGCGGGTCGCCTGAATATTCTGTAAAAATTTCTGATTCTTCCGTTTTCAAGCTGGCCGCCCTAAATTTAGGGAGGGCCGCCTGAAATTTCTGTAACTCGTCATTTTCTTCTATTTCACTATCCAAAGCCTTTCTGATCACCTCAATCTCCTCCCAATTGCTATACAAACTTTCATTTGTTGCCATTAGTGATATTTCCAACGGATCGATCTCTCGGAACTCTTCCATCACTTCTTCGACCATTGCTTCCAAGACATCCACGAAGCATATTGTATCATTGGTGGAGGGTTGTCGGAGATTCTGATCGAGAGTGAATTCCACAGTTTCATCTCCGATTTTCATTGTCAACCTTCCCGCTCTAACATGAACTATGGCGTCTGCGGTACTTAGAAAGGGTCGACCAAGAATAATCGGAACTTTGGAGTCTTCATCCATATCCAATACCACGAAATCAACTGGAATGTAAAATCCACCAATCTTCAGGGGTACATCTTCCACTATCCCCGTTGGATACTTGATCGAACGATCCGCTAACTGTAGAGCCATTCTTGTTGGTTTCAATTCCCCTATATTCAGCTTCTTGTAGATCGACAAAGGCATAAGACTTACACTCGCTCCCAGATCGCATAGAGCTCGATCTATCTCAATGTTGCCCAACTTGCAAGGTATGGAGAAGCTTCCCGGATCCGACATCTTCGGAGGGAGCTCGTGTCTTGTAGTGGCGGCACTGATTTCAGTGCTTAAGGCCACCGTTTCCTTTTCTACCACTCGCTTCTTAGTCAAAATATCCTTTAGAAACTTTGCATAGGAAGGCATTTGGAGAATCGCTTCATGGAATGACATCGTAATCTCCATCTTTTTCAGCATCTCCGCAAACTTTCCAAACTGGCTTTCTTCATTGAACTTTTTCAAACGAGAGGGAAAAGGGATTGGAGGTACCTTAGGTGGTGGAGGAATGTAGGCCGGCTCCTTTTCCTAGGTGTTTGTCGTGGAGTCGCCTTCTTCCACCGCTTTGCCTTTCTCTTCCCTTGTTAGCCTTGGTGTTGGTGATTTTTCACTCATGGGTGGACTGATTTCCGGGAGTTGCTTTCCACTTCTCAACTCCACTGCATTAATGTGCTCTCGAGGGTTCAGAAGCCAATTATGTTGATCCAAACCAATACAACCACCCTTCCAACCTATACCATCCTGGGTTAAGAAACCACCCAAACTTCTCCTACAAGAACCAAACAAATGCAATGAACCCGCAATCGACATTTCAACGGAGCAACCAAGGACCCCGGGTTTTCAATCTAAGTTCCAGCAACAAGTGTACTCCTTCCAATTGCTTTTTGAATACAATTTGCTCATTCTCGATGTTTCCGATAGAGATTCCTTGTGACTTTTGCCCTTGGAGAATTTGCATCAGCATGTCCTTGATCTCGGGATCTTGAACTTTTGGTTGCTCTTGTTGTTGTCTATAGTTCGATGTTCCTTGATAACCTTGGTTTCCTTGGACTTGTTGCTGGAACTTAGATTGAAACCCCGGGGGTCCTTGGTTGCTCCGTTGAAATGTCGATTGCGGGTTCATTGCACTTGTTTGGTTCTTGTAGGAGAAGTTTGGGTGGTTCCTTAACCCAGAATGGTATAGGTTGGAAGGATGGTTGTATTGGTTTGGACCAACATAATTGGCTTCCTCCGCTTCTTGATTGACCAAATACATCCCCGGTTGGATTTGTGCTAAACTTGGCTCCTCTATAGCTGCTACTTGCTTACTATTTGCAAGTTGTATCCGTATCTCAACAAGTTCAGATAACACCGCCTTGAGTGCTGCTCCTTCTCCCGCATCTCCCTTTGTTGAGCCCCTCCTACTGAACTCATTTGATGTATGGCCTCGTCCTTTGGCCAACTTTGCAATTGTTGCTTCTAGCTCTTGAAAAGGGATGTCATACATGTCACCCCCACATGCCGCATCGATCCATGATCGAGTGTCATCCTTTAATCCATGAATGAAGATAGATAGGAGGTAATCTCGTTCCATTCCATGGTGAGGGCACATCCTTTGGTATTCTTTAAATCGTTCCCATGCATCATGAAGATTCTCCCCATCCTCTTGTATAAAAGCATTGATCCGATTCCTTGCGTGTTGAGTTTTGGTGGGTGAATAGTATTGCATAAGGAACTGCTCCTCCATCTCGTCCCAAGATGAAATGGAGTTTGGCTCAAGAGTGTAGAGCCAATCTCTTGCTCTCTCCATGAGTGAGTATGGGAAAGCCTCAAGGAGCACATCTTCCGTGGTGATTCCCGGCCCTTTCTTTATCGCCTTACAATTCATCTTGAAATTGGTAAGGTGAGCATTTGGATCCTCATTGGGCCTACCCCGGAAACTCATGTTGTTGAGCATTTGGATGCATTGTGGTTGGAGTTCAAAGTCCTCCAACGGCTCCTTGTTAATGCAAGAGAGTAGTTGAGTGTGCTTCGGTTGTGTGTACGTTCGAAGCGTTCTAGGGGCTGCTTGGGCTGGTTGTTCCCTTCGAGCATTGTTGTCTCTCAATAAATCTTCTGCCATTTTCCACTATCTTTGTTGCTTCCGAGTAAAACGTACAGTCCTCTCAATTTCTGAATCAAATAGAAGTTGATCCTTGTCGGTTGTGCTTCTTGTCATACACCGAGAGATCTGCACGTAGAGAAGAGTGAAAAGAAAACTAGCCAAAGGTGAGAAAAGATCGTAACACTAAGAGATCCCAAGTAGAAACCCAAGCAATGATGACCTAG